GGTCTATTTTGGTGGAAAAATTATTTTTTTTAAAGAAAAATATATTTTTTTAGACTTGAGGAAAAATATTTGTTTAAAAAAAGAATACTGACATAAAAACCTCGAGACTTGATTTAAAAAGAGAGTAAAAATTTATTTTACTTAGTTGTTTTTTGGCCAATTAAAATTAAACAGTGAGTTCTAACAACCAATCAGATGCGTGGCACGATTTGACTGACAGCTTGCTTGTCCAATTGCGTGCGCGCAGTCGACCGTTAAGAACGCTTCGCTTCTACCTCAGTGTTCATTTGTGGAGTGCTGCTGGAGAGTCTGTTGAAGTATTTTGTTTGGTGTCCGACTAAGTTGTTTCTTTTTTATTCTTGATAAAAATGAGAGAGATTGTTCATTTGCAGGCTGGCCAATGCGGCAACCAAATCGGAGCGAAGGTAAGAGAGACACCGGGATGTGAAAAACGATGGATTCAAAGTTAGAATCAGTTTCCGCGGGCTGCTAAACTTATCGTTAGCTTACTTAGCAAAAATAATAACGGTTAACAGCGTTTGGGTTGGGCTTTAGCTGCTTAAGTCAATCGAGTTATCCTATATATTTACCGTTTTAATATATATTTTCTTATTTTTGTGTTTTTGTAGTTTTGGGAGGTGATAAGCGACGAACACGGCATCGACCCGACCGGGACCTACCATGGGGACAACGACCTGCAGCTGCAGCGGATCAACGTGTATTACAACGAGGCCTCAGGTTGAACTTAGCTTCTTTTGCTAAGCGTTCTTAGCTACACGGTTAGATCAGATAATTTGTGAGACTGAAGGTTAATGCATTACCTTCACGGCAAACCCCCCATAAGCTCTGTGTTTATCCAGCAGAGGGTCTTCAACCTCCGTTTGTTCAATTCAATGGTTTCTATGGATCAGTTCACAAGATACAAGCTAACAAAGTCTACCACAATTACTCCACTTTAATCACTCACCTTACTTAAAATCAGACAATTAATGCATAAAAAGGTTAGCGTTTAATTGTGAAAAGATAGTAATGAGGTGAACATTTGACTGCATAATGTAAATTTATAATAAAGCACAGAGTCAGTATTAAATGATTAATATAAATTTTGTTTAGACCTTTTCTGCATATTTTTATTTCCCAGGAGGCAAGTATGTTCCTCGTGCAGTTCTGGTGGACCTGGAGCCTGGCACTATGGACTCTGTGAGGTCTGGTCCTTTCGGTCAGCTGTTCAGACCTGACAACTTTGTCTTTGGTGAGCATTTTAGTTTGAAAAATAGCAGTTTTACACATTTACGTACGCTACAATATCTTAGTTTTTGTGTGTCACAGGCCAGAGTGGAGCTGGT